AGTATTGGTAAGGATATGGAGAAAAAGAAACACTTGTGCACTCTTGGTGGGAATGTAAATTGATGCAGCCACTATGAAAAGTAATATGGAGGGTTCTCAGAAAATTAAAAGTAATCCCGGCAGCATCTCCCGGCTGCATCTCCCGCTGCATCTCCCGGCTGCATCTCCCGGCAGCAAACAGGCGCCGGGCGCGAGTCTGACCTGCTTGCGAGGAGCTGTTCCCTAGAGTGGGGCAGAGAACGCGGGTTCTCGAGGTCGCTCCCCCAACCCCCTGGGGAGATGCTGTGAGGACAGCTGGAAGGACAGCGGGGACTGAACATCACACACGGCCAGGCCGTGGAGCGGCCGTGGGTCCGAGGTTCGGACTCCGCTTTTGGAAGAGGTGCTGCTGCGGGTCACGCTGTCCGACCGCGTCGCGTGCTGCAGAGCGGAGCCCATGGGCGCGGCCCCCACCCCAGCCTGCAGCCACCCCAGTGAGCAGGACCCTCGCTGCAGAGATGAGGGCTGCAGGCTCCGACGGTGGAGGGCATGTTTGAGCAGTAAAGCGCTTTTGATTTTTAAAATATATTTTATTGATTTTTTACAGAGAGGAAGGGAGAGGGATAGAGAGTTAGAAACATCGATGAGAGAGAAACATTGATCAGCTGCCTCCTGCATGCCCCCTACTGGGGACATGCCCGCAACCCAGGTACATGCCCTTGACCGGAATCGAACCTGGGACCCTTTAGTCCACAGGCCGACGCTCTATCCACTGAGCCAAACCAGTCAGGGCAGCAGAGCGCTTTTTAAATGAAGGTGTGCGCACGATCCTTTAGACGTGGTGCTGTTGCACACTTAGGAGCCTACAGGGCAGTGCGAACGTGACTTGTATGTGCACCCGAGAGCAAAGGCGTGCACAGCACTGCGTGCGGGGAGGCGTGCCCCACTGCGGTCTGGCCCTGACCCTGCACTGTCCCCAAGGCCTGCCTGCTCGGCCGCGCATGGTCACCATGCTGCTTCAGTCCGCGACGTCCCACTGGTCCCACAGTGGTCCCATAAGACTCTAATGGAGCTGGACAGCTTCTGTTGCCTAGCGACGTAGCCATGGTAACATCGCAACACAACACATTGCATGTCTGTGGTGATGCTGGTGTCAACACTTACTGCCCTGCCGGGCGCGTGACAGTAGATCACATAGGATTATGTGCATGCTGTATGTCACCTTGATAACGAACATAAGTGACTGTTTTGGCTTAGGTACTTACTATACTATGCTTTTTATTGTTATTTAGAGTGTACTCTTTCTTCTTACTAAAAAAATTGCCGTAGTCCGGCTGGCGTGGCTCAGTGGTTGAGTGTTGACCTATGAACCAGCAGGTCCCAGTGCAATTCTTGGTCAGGGCACCCGTCTGGAATGTGGGCTCGATCCCCAGTCGGGGGCCAATCAATGGTTCTCTCTCATCATTGATGTTTCTCTCTCTCCCCTCCCTTCCTCTCTGACATCATAAAAAAATGGAAAGAAATTGCTGTAAACCAGCAGCCGAGCTACCCCACCGGCAGCCTCGTGCATCTCGTGTTGACTGCATCTGTTGAGCTTGATTCCCTCTCCGGCAGTTTTATAAATTTAGTGCAGCCTGAGGGTACAGTTTTGTCAAGCCCAGAGCCGTGTCCAGTCACGTCCTGGGCCTTCAGGTGCCCCCACCACTCACTCCCTGACTCGTGAGCGTCGCCCAGTCCTGCGGGCTGCCTCAGGGTGAGCCCTGTCCAGGTGCACCACTTGTCCCTTTACGAAGCCGTGTGCAGGGCCTCTTCTCTGTTCGGATGTTGTAGACACACAGATACCACGTGTCACAGCTGCCTACAGCGTTCACACAGTCACACGCTGAACAGGTCTGCAGAGGCGGTAGCATCCAGGTGCGTGTACACGCCTCTGTGCTGCTCGCCAGCGACAGCATTGGACATGGCTGATGCTGTGTGTCTCGCACGCTGTATTTTTTAAAAATATATTTTCATTTATTTCAGAGAGAGGAAGGGAGAGGGAGAGAGAGAGAAACATCAATGATGAGAGAGAATTACAGATCGGCTGCCTCCTGCACGCCCCATGCTGGGGATCGAGCCTGCAACCCAGGCATGTGCCCTGACGGGAATTGAACCGTGACCTCTTGGTTCATAGGTGGCCGCTCAACCCCTGGGCCACGCCGGCCGGGCTGTCCTGTATTATTTCGAAGGCGCTATATATCCACCAGGGGTCAGTGGACAGGTCCTGGCGGTAGGAGGTGGTGAATTAAAACAGAGATGGCACGAGGGGCATGAGTTTAGAAAACTCCCGTTTGGAGAGGTCGGAGCAGTCCCGCTCAGCGTCCTCACGCGCAGGGGGTGCGCCTGGCCGCTGTCCCTGTGAGGGTCCCCCACCAGCTGGCTTCCCACCTGCTCTGCCCGCCCCTCCGGAACGCCAGGTGTCTGGCTTCTTTGGGAAGCACAGGGGGCTCCTGTGGTCTTTTCTGCCCGCCCCCCCTTCTCACGCTGGAAATGGGGGAGGGGGCAGTGAATCCTGACTTAGAGTCTGGCCAGCACGGGGCTGCCTGGGGGACCTGTGATTTAGATGCGGCTTTTAGAATATTCCGGAATATAAAGATCTAGGCAGGTGAAAACTATGGGCAATGTCTTTCACAAATGGAAATGGGGGGAGGGGTGGGAATCTTTGGAATATCTGCTTCTAGCGTTCTTTCCATATCTGAGTACACGTGCGTTTGACATGGATTGCCTTTGCCTTTTCATAAATGGGCCACCAGTGCGTTTAGAGAGATGACAGGCTAGAGAAATCATCGGGAAATACTTGTTTTCCTATGTTTCTTTCCCTTTTAAGAAACTTAAAGCAAAGGTCCGGGTGGGGCATCTCCCCGTTGCTGCCTCTCCCAGGGCCCTCTCCCCACCTGCGGCCCCGCCCTCTTCCCCCCTGTGTCCTCTGTGTGGTCTCCCACCAGACAGGGCGCCCCCCGTGACCGCGTTTCTCTTCTCTTTGCAGTGCACGGAGGCCAAAAAGCACTGCTGGTATTTCGAAGGACTCTACCCGACATATTACATGTGAGTACCTGCCCGCCCCGCTGATTCTGTGGAGTTATGGTTCTTTCACGGGACTGGGTATGGGACGGGGAAAGCCCTGTTGGGAGGCCCTCACCCAGCTCACTGGCCTCTGCTCACTGGTGCGCAGTGACCGCCCAGGACACCAGCCGCTCAGACCAGTCACCAGGAGGACGGCGCTGTGGTGCCTCCCATGCGATTGGTCAAAAGGGGCAAGATGTGTGGGCAAGGCCAGCATGACGCTGGCTTGTATGGCTTCTAGACCAAGGATGTGAGGACATGGGGGAGCGGGAAAAACAACCCCCTCGGCTGCTGTGACTGTGTGTGTGTGTGTGTGTGTGTGTCTCTGTCTCTTCCTATGCCCCGCACCTGCCAGCCTCGCTCTGGGAAGGCCCCACTGCGTTCCCCGTTTGCATGCGTTTTTCATTTCTGCTGTGTTAGTCACGGCTGTTCTTGCGCCACCTGCCCAGGTGGCCAGGCTAACTATCGAGGTTTCCAATTACTGTTATCACTAGAGGCCTGGTGCATGAAATTCGTGCACTCGGGGCGGTGGGGCTCTCTCAGTCCCGCCTGCGCCCTCTCAGTCCAGGAGCCCTCAGGGGATGTCCGCTCCCTATGGGGAGCAGGCCTAAGCTGGCAGTCAGACCTTCTTCGCGTTGCCTCAGCGGCCGAGAGGTTTGCCAGTTGTAGCCCGGCTGTGGCCGAGCGGCGCTCCCCCTGTGGGAGCACCCTGACCCCCAGGGGGCAGCTTCCGAGTTGAGCATCTGCCCCTGGTGGTCAGTGTGCGTCATAGCGACCAGTCATTCCACCATTCAGTTGATTTGCATGTTAGCCTTTTATTATATAGGATTATTTAAAAATTGTAAATGTATTTATTGATTTTTAGAGAGAGAGGAAGGGAGAGGGAGAAAGAGAGAGAAATATCAAACCAGTCCCCTGACCCCCCAAGACTTATTTTTAGTATTGAGTTTTGCAAAACATGAGATTTTTCGTAATGCATCTAATGTTACAGCAGAAACGCCGTATATTGTGGTGTCCAGGAAAAGGGGGCAGGAAATATATAACAGCAGCCGGAAGGGTGATTGCTCCACTGGCCAGTACGTACATCTTTCTTGCTGGTCACCCCCGGGTTTCTGCTCCTGAGGAGGCAGGTGGGCGGGGAGGGCTGCTGGCTGCATGAGGAAGCGCAGGAGAGGGGCCGAGAGGGGCCGCTTCCCGTGTGGCTTTGTGTTGAGACACCTGACACGCGGAGCCCTGATGCCCCACCAGAGAGTCTGTTCCCAGCATCTGAGTCTTTAACAATCACTGTAACAGCAATGCAGGCGGTAGATGCTCCTGTTACAGACTTACTGTCTGCATAGTGATGCACGTCAGCGTTATCTACAATAATAAAAGCATAATATGCTAATTAGCCGGACGACCTTCCGGTCGAAGCCGGGGCTGCAAGGCAAGCCTGGGTCCCGGGTGCCAGAGGGAAAGCCGGTGCCGGCAGCCAGGGGAAGGAAGGCCTACGCTGGCACGAATTTTGTGCATCAGGCCTCTAGTTAGAAAAGAAAATCTCTGCCCCTAACGAGACTTCAAATTAACGTGAAAGAAGTTTTGACCTTAAAGTTTAAACAGGAAGTCATTTTTCACTGATAAAATAATTGAAACATGACTGACTCTGCAAGTCCTTTGCAATGTTTATTATTTTTATTTTTTCCGTCACCATTTATCCCCTCTCCGCCCTCCTCCCTCTCTGCCCTCCCCCACCCGCCAGTCTTTTTACAAATGCTTCGGAAGTCATCAGAGGGGAGTTTTTGCCCGGGCCCCCTTCTCCTGCTCTCTCTACTCCGTCCCTCTCAGCAGGTCACACGAGGAATGCAAACTCAAGAATTCCAGGTGAGAGGTATACTTCTGCCTCAGAGAAACCACTGTCTCCTCTGTGTAGTGAAAACAAAGTAAGAAATTGAATAGAACCAGACTTCTCTCAAAAAATAAATCCAAGCTGAGAAAAACAAATACAGATTAGGGTGTAAATAAGGGTCTTTCTGGAAAACAGGTATTTCCTCTCTTTCTACTAGAAATAGCAGAACGCCCCCTAATACTTGCTCTTCTTTCCCGATTGCTTGGTTCACTAGCATGCGTCCCAGCAGGGCGATCGGAGAACACTGCTAGGCAGAGGCACTGACGGGATTCCCTCCGAAGATCTGGCTAATTCTGCGGCCGAGAAAACAGTTTGGTCTCTAATTAGTCAGGAAACAGAGCCGATCTCGTTTCGAGGCATCAGCCAGTGTGACCCAGCGAACCTCTGGGGAGGGCGCCTTCCAACAGAGGTCTCCCAGGACCTGGAGGTGCTCCGTGACCTGGAGCCCTTTGGCTGTTCTCTCCTCGAAGGACGGAGAGGTGGTGAGACCACACCCGCCACGAAGGATGCGTGTTTCCTATGAGGCTGGTCACGGGACCTCACAGTGAGCGCAGCGTCCCTCATAAAAGCGGCTCCAGCCCCTCTGCCCTCAGCTGTGTCTTTGCTGCCACCTGACACACGTGGACCCGACCGTGGCCGGTGTCTGTAGGGACGGCTGTGTAGGGCGTCCTTGGTCTTCCTTCTCCTTGAGTTCTCACTGGACTTTGACAGCCCGTTTCCTAGAGACGTGCTCCCCGCACCGCTGTGTTATCTGGGCCCCGCAGCCGGCAGCGGGGATGGGCAGGAAGGGCAGTGCTGGGCGGTCAGCGAGGCTGGCAGGCGGGCTCCGGGCCAGGGGCCGGGCGGGAACCAGCGAGTCCTGGCAGGAAGCCTGGCTACTGGGAGGAGCAGAGCCTTGGGAACTGAGGCAGCAGCGGGAAGACTGGGGTCCGATCACAGAGCCGCCGGTGGAGGGAAGGGGCTGGGCGGGGGGAGCACACGCTTAGTTCTTCTGGGAACAGTGGCCTTTCCTGGTCGGCTCTGCTTCCTGGACTCCGCTCGGGGCAGGCGTGGCCACCCTTGTCCTGTGACTCGGCCTTTCTCATGTTTCGTAGAGAAAGCCGGGCGCATCCCCCGGCTCCCAGAGGCTGCAGGGGGGCCGTTCCTATTTCATTGTTGATCTGTTCCCGATTTCCTGGTTCAGGATGGAGGTGAACGTCTTTGCTGTGGACAGAGAAGACGGAGGCGGCCGTTCTTGTCACTCAGACCTGCTGGTCTGGGCTCTGTCACCCCTAGTGAGGGGAAGGGGCCTGAAAAGTAAAAAATGTCCTCACTCTGTTATTAGAGCTCCGTAAAGCCATTGCCACCATTAACATCAGGGCTTCTTCCCCACGTGGCGGGGGGAGGAGGCAGCAGGAGGAGGAGCTGGTGCCGGGCACGCAGACTCGTGAGTCTGATTGTGGGGCAGGGACCCCAGGCCGTCTCCGAGGGCCAAGGAGGAGAAAGACCCTGACGGCGGGGGCGGGGGCGGGGGGGCAGTGTGATCTCACAGCTCGGCTCCCATCCGGCATCACCAGGGCCCACCCAGTTCCCACATCTCCCTCAGACCGAGACAGAGTGTGTCCCTGATTTCCCAGACGGGCCCCCCACAGAGTCAGGGGGATCTATATACATAAAAGGCTAATATGCAAAGTGTTCCCTCGGGAATTCGAGTGGGAGAACGGGAATTCCATCACTTGCTATGATGTACACTGACCACCAGGGGGGTGGTGTGGAATATGGCGGGTGACCAACAGCGCAGTGGGGTGCTGAGGGAGCGAGGGAAGGACGAGGTGGGGAGGCGGGGAGACGGGGAACCTGATAGGCCCTGGTCACCGGTCAGGCCTAGGGACCCTACCCATGCACCCATTTTGTGCACCGGGCCCCTAGTTAGTTATAACAAAGACTGTGATCACATGTCCCCTCCCTGGACTGGGAGCTGGTGGAGGGCTGGAGCCTGTGACTTCCACATGTCTGGTGGCCTGGAAGGCACTCCTATACACACAGGACCCGGGGAAGGGCGGGGAGGAAGCGGGGACTGGCAGCCTGCCCTGGTGCTGGGCAGTGTTTCGGGGGCTGGCAGTCAGACCTGCTCCAGTCCTGCTCTGCTGCTGTGTGATCTTGGGCAGACCTCCTCCCCTCTCTGGGCCCCAGTCGCCTGTGCCGGATTATCTCCAAGGTCCGATCCTGCTTCTAGGACTCGTTTCGGGCGGCTGCACGGAATAATTCAGAGCGTAGAGAACAGAAGCCGAGCGGTCCAGCCGATGATGTGCTGTGGCAGCGACAAGTGTACAGATGTGAGAGGGATCGGACTCCCACCTGCCTGCCAAGTGCAAGCAGCCGCTCAAGTTTCCCTTCGAAGGGGGGTCGTCTTTCTCCCGCGGGCCTCGGGGTGACACACTGGGGAAGGGCGTGCATCGCAGTGGCAGCGCCGCGGCCCCAGGAGCCATGAGCGCCCAGTTCCAGCTGCTGAGGTCCTAAGGCGGCCGGGCGGGAGCTTCCCACAGTCGGTCACGGGCATCGTCCGACGTGGTGACTTTCTTCATGCGACGCTGCGTGAGTCAGAGAAGGCCGGTGACCCAGAGGAGCCGGCTTCCTGCCCTTCAGGAATGGACATGACTGGGATTCGGCCCAGAAGACGGGGCGGGGAGAAGCCGGTTGGGCTCCTCGCTGGCCTCCAGGGATTTGCGAGCGAGAACAGGCCCCTGGCCTCTGGCAGGGGGTCCTTGTCATCTGCATTTTACTGAGAAAACCTTAGGGCCAGGGACTAGTTTCATGAGTGACATCCCCGATGGCGGAGGTGTCAACCCTTCGCCGGGCTCCTGCGCGACTGGGTCCCTCTCGGGTGGTGGATGCAGCAGGGTGCCGGGTGCTCGGTGCTGGGTGCCGGGTGTCCTGTGTACACACTTGTTGTAGTTTTGGGTTCGGATCTCAGTGCCGCTGAAGGAGAGAAGGGGGTGGGCTCTGAAGTCAGCAGCACGGAGACGCAGCCCACACCCCTAGCCCCGCCGCGGAGAGGGGGCAGGAGACAGGAGACAGGAGACAGGTGCAGGGAAGGCGTCCGCTCAGTGCGACAGGAGATGGGACGTGGATTAATGACACGGTGACAGAATCAGTGAGCACACCCAGCAGCTCATGCCTCGATGCCTCCGGGTCCATGGAGACCGGTCACTTCCATGCCACCTGACGGGGCCGGGGGCGAGCGTGTGGGCGCCGTGGGACAGGACGAGGGCAGCAGGCTCGCCCTGCAGGAACTCCGGCCTGGCTTACCCTCTGCACCCCCTGACCCCCTACCGACCCCGCATCCCTAGTGTGTGCCGGGGTGAGCAGAGGCCACTCCTCCCGCTGCCTGCTCCGCCTGTGGCCTTGACCAGGTCATTCCGGGCCCTGGCCCCCGCCTCCCGTCGGGGCGTGCCGCTCCTTTAGACGGGGCTCACCTCAGCCTCAGCCCGGCTGGCTGTGTCTGGCGCGTCCTCGCTGTGAATAATGGACGGCGTGAGTGGGGAGGTGCTGTTCGCAGGTGTCCGAGCAGGAGGCGGAAGCGGCTCCATAGAGCCAGTGCCTGGCTGGCTGCCCAACCTGCCTGCTGGTTCTGGAGAGCCAGACCAGGTCCAGGGCCTGAGACAGGCCACCTGTGGCTGAGGGGGCGCTGGTGTGCCCACCTCCTGGCTCCTGGCAGACCTGGGCCTGATGGGTCTCTCTGTGCGGGTGAGGTCAGCTCTCCTGCTTGGGGTGTGCGGGGTGGGAAGGGCAGGGGTCGGGCGGGGCACAAATAGTGAAGGAGGCAGCGATGAGGTCTGGGGGCCTGGGGGTGGGGGGGTCCCGTCCCTGGCGAGTGCCTTTCTCGGCTCCTCTTCTGGGGGAGGAACAGCCCCCCCTGAGTGTCCACAGGAGCCTGAAGCCTCAGGCGTGGGGTGCGGGAGGGCTGGCGAGGGCAGGGACAGTGCCTGTGGGCACTTCTGTAGGGACAGCGGCACCGTGACCGCGTCCTGTCCTCGCACCCATTTTGCTCAGGAAACCGAGGCTCCCAGAGGCCCCACCGTTAGTGGCAGGACCAGCACAAGCCCCCTAGCCGGCCTGGCCCTGCAGGCTCTGTCTTTAACCCCCTGCCCCGTGAGGGCTGCTGTCCCGTCTTTGGAACCGTCGGGGGTCGGGCCGAGCGGGACCCCACAGCGCTCAGTGCCAGCCTGTGGCAGAACCGCCGGGTCATACGCTCCTTGGCCGTGGCGCTTCCCCGGAGGAGCCGTCGTGATTGGGCGCACGGGGCCTGCGAGACGTGGTTCCGTGAATTACACTGTCAGTGTCTGTCTCGCACCTTCCATTTGGGCCACGAGACGGACGTGGTCAGCGTGGCCGTTTCGTGGCCTGCGGCAGTGGCTGTCCATCCTCTGGCCTGAGCTCTGCCTGGGTCTCTGACGGTCCTCCCTTCCTGGGACCGGCCCTGACCCTGTGCCCCTCCCGCAGATGCCGCCCCTACGAGGACTGCTGCGGGTCCCGGTGCTGCGTGCGGGCGCTCTCCATCCAGCGGCTGTGGTACTTCTGGTAGGTCACACCCCGCCTGCCCATGGCTTCTCCCCCTGCCCCGGGGCCCTGGGGCGCCACCTTCCCGTCGCCCTTCCAGGTCACTGTCTTGGGGGCTGCCTCGTAGCAGGCAGGTGTGTCCGCCTGGCCTCGCGGTAGCATTTCTGCTCCCCGAGTTGCCGGAAGCCCCTCCTGGGTCCCAGGCGGTGGCCAGGGGAGAAGGCTGATTCCTTCGGACGGGGGCTGGGCAGCACCCCATCCTCCGGCAGCTCCTGGCCAGTTTCCGAAACAACACTGAGGTCAACTGTCCTCTTATTGTTAAAGATTTTTAAATTGATATTTTAGAGAGGTGGCGGGGGGTGGGGGGGAGAGAGAGCAACACTGATGTGAGAGAGAGACATGCATCAGCCGCCTCCTGCACACCCCCTCCCGGGGATCGAGCTCACAACCCGGGCATGTGCCCTGACTGGGAATCGAACAGGCGACTTCTGTGCAGGGGACAAGGCCCAGCCACACGGGCCAGGCCTCAGCCTCCTAAAGATCAGAGAGTCTGCAAATCTCACAACAAAATGCCTGCTGCCTCCCGGTCTCCCCTTCACATAGTGTGGGCTGCCTCCCGACTCAGGACAGACGCTGGGCCCTGCCCATGCCCAGCTCTCCTGAGGCCCCTGCCAGCGGCCAGGCCTGCAGGGCAGTGTCTGCACAGAACCTTACCGGGGGGCAGAGACCAGGGCTCCGGGCAGCGCGGCCTCTGACCTGCAGAGTGGGAGCCTGGGCCGCCCTGGCCCTCACGCTCGGCCTGTGCTCCCCCAGGTTCCTCCTCATGATGGGCGTCCTCTTCTGCTGCGGAGCCGGCTTCTTCATCCGGAGGCGCATGTACCCGCCGCCGCTGATCGAGGAGCCCGCCTTCAACGTGTCCTACTCCAGGCAGCCCCCGAACCCGGCGCCAGGTCAGCCGCCCCTCCGTCCTCGCCCCTCCCGCCGTCCAGGCATCTTCCTAAACATTACGCGTTCCCTTTGCTGCTGGGACACGGCCCCACTTCACCATCCTAGTCCTCCCAGCCCCCTTGGCATTCTCCTCATCCTCCTTGAATACCCGGGTTCTCTTCCTGTCGCCAATGTCAGGCTTCCCCACCGCCCGCTCCTCGGCCTTGTGTCCCTCCTTGCACTGCGTGGGTGGCTGTAGCCACCATGGACCATTCCGGCCCCATCCTTCTCCTGAGCCCCGCCCTCCTCCTGTTTCCCCGCCCTCCTGTAGCCCCGCCCTCCTCCTATAGAACCTCCCTATTCCTGTAGCTCCGCCCTCCTGTTGAATTGCCCAACTCATGTAGCCCCACCCTTCTGTAGAACTGCCCTCCTCCTGTAGAACCGTCTTTCTCCTGTAGCCCTGCCCTCCTGTAGCCCTGCCCTCCTGTAGCTCCGCCCTCCTGTAGAACTGCCCTCCTGTAGCCCCGCCCTCCTGTAGAACTGCCCTTCTGTAGCCCCGCTCCTCTTATAACCTTGCTCTTGCTCCGTGGGACCTCTATCAAGACCAGAAGCCAGTCATTTCTATGTAGACTTCTTCTCTGTCCCATGCATTCCACACTGAGTCTGCCCCCAGGTCCTCCCGGATACCTCTTCTTCTCGACTCCCCATTTCGTCTCTCCTCTTCGGAGGCTCCCATTGTCTATCCTGGACTATTACAATAGCCTCTTTTTAAAATCTTAATCTTTAAGGTATAAAAGGATCAGAGATAAATAAGGCATAACCTCTGCCTTTGGGAAACTCATGGGAGGTGAAGGGCTTGTGGGCAGACACGGCCCAGGGCAGTGGGCGGCCGCACCAGGGAAGCAGGTGCCGCCTGTCAGACGTGCAGGAGAGAGAGGAGGCCCCGGCTGGCAGATTGCCCTCCTGCCGACTCCTTCAGATGCACTTCTGGCCTCGTGTTTCTGTTCTCGTTCTCCCCGCAGCACTGGAGGTCCCAGGTCTGACGTGTGCAGGCGTGAGGCCCCTCACACACCCAGTGGGCATCTTGGCGGGAATCCGACCGCCATGCAGTTAAACTGTAGAACAGGGAGACCCTCTGCCATATGTACTGGGACGAAGGCTCTGAGGCTCCCAGTGTCTCCGGGGGTGAAGGAGGCCTCCCTCAAACAGACCTGCGTCCACTCAGTCAGCTGAGCCCAGCACGCCCCAAGCTCCCGCTCCCTGTCTCGGTTCTTTGTGTGTGTTTAGTGCTCTGTCCATGGTACCAGCATGACCAGAGGAAGCAGGTTTGAGACACACGCTCCAGAGCAGCAGCTCAGATCGAGCTGAGGGGGTCACCTTGGGGACTGAGGGTGCGGGGGCGGGGGAGAGATTCTGGCTGAGACTCAGGAAACCGGCTCTTGCCGTGTTCGTTAGCTGGGAAGTGACTTCCCTTGCCGCCGGTTTTGTTGACTCGGCAGTGCGGGCGCCCTCTCTGCTGGTAGTGTTTCCGGCGCGTGCTCCCCAGGCCTCCGCAGAGTGGCCTTGGCTCTCCCTCCAGGTTCCGATTGGCAAGGTCCGAGCCTCAGCCCACCTGTGCCCGATGGAGCTACAGATCCTGGCTATGATGATCACCTGAACGCTGCCTATGTGTCATTCCTTCTTCGCCAACTCCGTCCACACCTGCTGGGGTTGGACCCCAGCATGCTCCCACCAGCATCGGTGCACAGGTGCCCAGCCGCCCGCTGGCGTCCCCCGTGGCTGCCTCCCTGTCTGAGCCGGGCTCACCTATGCCAGGTGGTCCCCTCCCTGATCAAATGTTCCCCGGCCGGTGGGAATGGCGGCCGTACTTCTGACTTGAGTCTCAGCAGATGGTTCTCAAAGGGCCATGGAGCTGCGGTGGGGGGATG